ACATTATCCATAAAACAATTATGAGACGATCTTTAGCATCTTCACTTATGCATAGGTGTATTTGTAGGACAAATTAATAGATTTATGTCTATCTTAAAAGATACTAACATTTAAATTAATTATTTGTTTATTCGACAAAATTAAGCAAATTTAATTAGAGGTGAACATTGTCTAAACACGTCAAATATTACCATCCCACATGTACTCCCCTCAAAAAGGGAACATGACACTGTCCAAGAGTCCTAATTTTATTGGCTACTTTTAATTTGGGTTAATATTTCTTCTTTAATTCAACTCCAAAGACATATAATTGGCCCTCTTTTAGTGATAAATTAAAGGTTCAAAACAAATAAAAATAGAAAGTAATCAGGTTGTTGAATTGAATCCATTATCATGCCACCATTCGCTCTTAGAAATTATTTTTATAGCTAAGAACGTTAATAAATAATGCGTGTTTTGTCATTTTATTTATTTTAATGAACTATCCAACTTAGCAATAGAGCGATAATTCTTTACTCGTAAAAGATCGTAAAAGAGAGAGAGGGGAAAAAAAATATATCCAATGGAATGCCACAAATATTAGTGCCATTTTTGGCTTAAATTCCGTAGTTTTTTAATATATATGCACGCAAGGATAAATATATATGTACTGAAAAAAGGTTACCGAATTGGTGTCCTACTTTTACATGCGCGTGGGCCCCACGTGCATTTAAAAATTTTGGCTTGTGGGGCCCACCCTCCTACTGTAAGTGTAGGTAAAAGATTTGGTAAAAATGTATAGATAAATGTAACATTATCCTGCACGCATTATAGTAACCGACAGATCCAATTAAATAATATAAACTCCTACCGGCAACCACTGCTATTTTCAGTAATTAATAAGTCGCATTTTGCGTTTCTTTTGGGCTGTTGAGTTTTTCCTTTTTCCCCCAAAACGCGCTTCTAACAATACTGCGTTACCGTTTATGACTAAAAGATGGTACAACTAGTCAACTACAGAGACTCAAGTCAGCTCCAAATTTGATTTTAATCCCCATCAAACAAGGCTGATTCTTAACTCTAAATCAACAATTAATTTAACCACATATTTTATGGAATTCACACCTTCACATTTTATCAAAATCTATTAAAAATCTAATTTTAGTCCACACCAAACAGGAACTGAATTAAAATTTCCGAACTAATATCTATGTTTACACGTGTAAATAAAATATGATTTGATCAAATAAAAACTTCATGAACCCTAGTCAATTCTCGAATCTTTAAAACTATGTTTCATATTTGACAGGAAAACTAAGAATATAAAACTTATAAGCTATTGGACTTTTTCGTTGTAGAATTTGTACTTCGACTGATGACCGAAACTTGTCATTTCGGGGACAATGTCTTTCTTGACATTTGGTTTTCTTGAAAATATTCCATGTTTTTCAGTCTTATTCTGATTAAATATTATGAATAAAATCTTAGATGTTGACAAAAGGACTGTTATTACACGAGATTGCTATTTCTACACAGCAAGAGCGAGCAAGGGGGCCCATTGTTCGTCTTAATTATCACCATACCATATTCTGTACAATGGACGGTGCAGGCAACCCACCCTACAATTTAATATAGAGGAAATTGTTTGAAATATCCACTTTCACATGTTCATTTTCACAAATCTTTGTAAAAATGTTTATTTTGAAATATTTTGGACTAAAGTACTTCTGTGAACAATTTATTATTCCATACAAAGATAAGAAATAAACATTTTTGCAAAAATTTTATTGGCAAATAAATTTTCACACGTAACCTTCCATATTTATTTCAAAAGTGCACATATCATATAACAATTAATGCTATTTTTTTCATTGACATAGAAACGTCGAGAATTACATTTCAAATATAGAGAATTGTTATGTTTGGAATGAATTGTCATTCTAAAAATTTAAAATGTCGAGAACATTTAATATTGTGATTTGACATGTATACTTTTAAAATATAAACGAGATTCAAATATCGATAATAACATTTGAAATGTCGAGAACATCATTTTAATGTATCTTCTCATGGAAGCTACTTCTCGAAATCCGCAACAAATTGAAAAAATAAATAAATTGCTTCTCTTTTTACTCACATCAAGTGAAAAAACAAGTTAAAGAATTCTTAGGGGTCGAACATCAAAGAGCAAGTTCCTGGCACATTTTTGTATGTAGACGGACAATGTTGTCCAATCTACTATATCAAGCATATCATAACGTGGATATTTACGCACTCCCGTACATTATATCCTACTTCATAAGACGTATATGAGGTTCCCATTTGAAAAAGGCCAAAATAGGGACATGAGACATGCTGCTGTCTCAAGTTGACCTTAATAAGCCTTTAAGCTACCGTCCAGCACCGATTTTCTGGTACAACTAGACAATTCATAATCAATTAATTAGCTCAATTTGTCAAACACAAGACAACTCACAAACCACACTTAACAAGTTGCAACACAATTTCCAAATTCCTTTCCAGGTCTTCATAGACCTTTAATTCATACTAAAGTCTAGGCCTTGCTCAGTCTCCGATTAGAGAGAGGAAAAAAGGTTCATATATAATGTAAAATGTCAATTCCCAAACCTTTGAAAGGATACGAACAAAAGTCCAGCAGCCAGCATTATAGAATACTCAAATTGCCCAACAAGCTTCATATAATCAAAGACAATTAGCCTTCAATGTCAAATGCACGATTAAAGAAAAATAACAAAGTTGTTAAGCCTAGCTTCACTTTGAGCAATTTAATAATGCCAATAGTAAAAGAACCCTAAACAAGCAGCCACAATGTTCAAGATTGTAATTGAAAACTTGATACTCACGTGTGATCTAAAGCGAAAACCACTCTCCGTTGTTATTTGAGGGACCCTAAGCCTTCCAGAGGAGCATCATTTGATAATGAAAGAGAGCCTAGTATCAGATGTACTATAATTTGGAAGATGTACCTAACTAAATACCAATTTTGCAGCAAATCAGAGAGTGATGAGTGCGTTAGTTTGCAAGCAAAGCTATAAAAGAAAGAGTTAGTAATCTACATCATACCTATCATCATACCTATTAATTTCAATGGCACCTTCTGAATTGAACGTAACTTGCTTTTAAACTGCAGTTTGTAGTATCAGCTCCTGCATACTAAGAGCAAAAATAACAAGCACAATGCCGAAACAAACTAATCTATGATTCCAATGATTTCAATCTAATCTAAAGATTTACTGGGTCTAACAATAGTCAACACTGTAAAGAATCATATTAGATAAAAAACAAGCCATAATTTAATTTACATGCTTTTATCATATACTCAGTATGAAACATAAAATTCTTTACAAGAATTATAAAACTTTTAAAAATTAAAAAATTTTATA